AATGGGATATGATATTGTTTACCAGCACCCATCTGCTTCCCCGTAATCTCTTCAATCATGGTGTCCAGGATTTCAAATACATTTTATTGAGTTTCATGGTAAATAAAAAACTCAAAATCATACACCAGAATTCTGTAGAAATACAATATAATAAACATTCACGTAGGATAGGATCCATTTTGATTGAAAGAATTCCAGTGGCGAACTTCTTAAGAATACTTCTTCTTCTTCTTCTTGTTCTTCATCTTCTCCGAATACCAACGACCCCTAAATTCATAATGATGTAAGATTGAATGAAGGCTTAAGGCTAACAATTATTGCAAACAATATTTGATGTATTGCAAGAATCAGCATGTTGGTAAACGTTTGATATTAAAGTAGCGATTTTGATCATGTAGCTACTGTTATGTTAGTCCAGGAATGGACAACAGTTTCATACTTTTAACTTATCGTTTTAGTGATTTCTATCATTCAGGATTATGAAGACTGTTGAGTTTCATTGAGATCATGAATCGATCATTATTAGACTAATGTTGGAAACCTGCACGCACTAGAGGTCATTTTCGTCAATTGTAAGCCTGAACAACGTCCACATCCGGAGAATCGAACCTAAGACATCAGCGTCGATGCCAACATAGTAGTATAGAAGGCAGGCGATCGCTCTAAGTCCTAAGGATTGTTACTGACTAGTGGGAATTTCATTTTATTATTTAGGAAAAATCTCTAAGAAAAATAAGTTGAACCAATAAAATTCTATTGACTTAGCATATATTTTACTTGATGAAGAAGCTGACCAAATGCATAGTCTTCTGACTACCCGGAAGCAACAATGCAAGCATGTTTTCGGATGCGATTCTCCCCGTCGAAAAGGAGGATTGGCCTACGTCGGCACCTGATAGGAAGTGAAGTATTCGAACGTGTAGACCGCTTCACTTATCTTGGGAGTCTCATCTCAGTGCTGATAGCCTGATGACTGACGAAATCTCAGCACGGATACAGAAAACTCGATTGGCTTTTGCCAACTTGCGTTACTGATGGAAGATAATGAAAATGAAACAGCATCGCGTATTATGGTCAAGATTATCAAAAAGGTCTCAAGTACAGTAATAATCAGTTATCGTTGAAAAGTAAATTATCGAATAAATCGATAAACCTCATTAGTACTTTTGTGGCTGCATCCAGTCCAAAGTGGGGCTCATGACTTTAGTGACCCGCAATCGAATTGAAATTTGGACGTATATGAGATTAAATAAATCTCCTCTTCGACTTCTGCATATTAATACTTAAGCGAACCCCATTCGTGCAACGGTTTTGAGGATGAATTTTTTCCATGCCTTCATTTAGGCAGGCGGACAGACATGAAAATGAGAAGTGTACAAGCATAGCATAGCAAAGCAAAATAGAGACACAGAGAGAGTGAGCAAATTCAATGCAATCAAGTATGTATGACTAAGTATTTACAATTAGACCGAAATTGGCCTAGACATTTATGATAAACAAAGTAAACAACTCACACACACACAGACACACACATACACGCAAATAAAAACAACCAAATTATTATTAAGCGTATAATTAGTGACAATTTCACAAGAAGAATGAATCACTTTGAGGATAATGGGTCGATTAAATGGAGTCCAATGACTGGGACAAGCCCTATATGGCCAGATATGTTTGTTCATACTACGTTACTTCAAGTGATTTTGAGCATGAGGCTCGTAGCATTGTGTTGGTGAGAGAGATAGAGATTATGAAGAATTCAGAAAGTTAGAGTTTGAGAGAACACAGAAAGTGGATGCACCTGCGCCATCGCGAATGAGTCTGCCCCATGTCGTTCAAGGTCGCTAACCATTGGTGACTTTCGTCTCGCGAACTCCAACCAGATAGCCTACATCTACCAGCATGACTCAGTCCACTTGTCAGTGACTTCATGGATTTGTGCCATGTTTTGGTTTGGCCGCCTCTAACTTTCTTCCAATCTGTTCCTACACCACAAAACATAGCTTTTCAAGGCAGTCGGTGATTAGGCATTCGTAACACATGTTTCAACCACCTCAACTGATGAAGTTTCAATACTTCATCTATTGATTTGCCATCCTTACCTAAAACTCATTTCATAACGATAGCATTGCTTACTTGATCGTCCCAAGATACGCGACCAATGCTTCGGCGACACCGATGATCGAATGTCCTCAACTCTTAACAGCCATGTTTCGCATCCTTATAGTAGGACAGAGCGAACTGCTGCACAGTACACCCGTTCTTTAGTGAGCAAACGGGTATCACGCCTACGCCATAAGTGGCGCAGGTTGGCAAAAGCCAATCGAGCCTTCTGTATCCGTGCTGAGATTTCATCAGTCACCAGGCCATCAGCACTGATGAGAGTCCCCAGATAAGCGAAGCGGTCCACACGTTCGACTACTTCACTCCCTATCATAGTTCAGTTCCCGATGCAACCCAGTCTTGAAGCAACATTTTGCATTTCGAGGGGGGAAACCGCAACCGTCAACGTAATGTCTGGCAGCAGAAGATGGGGGAAGATCAAGAAAACAAAAGAGGTAGAAGAACAAAATGGAATTTGTATGAAACGCTTGAATAGTAGTGACAATGGATTGATGTTTGGCAATAGGAACAGTCCAGTTCGATATGATGAACTGATATTTTGCAAATTAACGATTTACAATATGGTTTTCGTTTAATCCAATTCGGTTGCCCCACCTGTGTTCTCGTTTACTACATTTTTGCGCTTTAGCTTCGTACCATTATGTTGGGGATGTTAGATTCTCAGAACTCACTTGATAAATGTCTTAATTTTGGATTTTGGTTCATGGGCTGGTCGGTTGACCTTGAGATCACATTTTCCACTAGGAAAATCCTTGGCTGTGATCGGTTACTGGTGACTCTCCAAAGGATGTTTCTATGACGCATAAGTAAATGCGATTTGTGCTCTTGATTGTATTGTGTTTGATGGGTGTTTGTAGTAGAATAATACACTTTCTACGCTATATCAATAGTTTTTTGTTAGGTCGTTTGGGATAACGTATCAGAGTAACCTACACGTACACTGGTTCATTGTCTCACTCTCGTTTATCGACTAAAAGATGAACCCATGATAGTTTTAAGCCGATCCAGTGACGAGTATCACACATTGAATAGTCTAAAAAATGAAATAACCTCTAACTTGAAACTATTCATCATATTCGTTGTAATTCAAAATATTCCTTGCAATCATTCATGATGAAATAGTTATTTAAGAATATTTTAAAGATTCTCATTTGTGAAAATTAGAACAACACAAATAATAAGCGAACAATGATGTTGTTGTTTTCGCTTAGATCGTCATCAGGCTTTACTCTCTCTAATTTACATGAATATTTATATGAAAATGTTCTAACCAATCAAGGCAATTTATGAGTCAATAATCATCACAATGAAATGAAATAGAGATTACGCCACTACTACACATAATAATAGGCAAAAGTACAAGTGGATAGTAGGAGGACATGTGTACTGATAGTAGATATAAGAAAATTATAAAATATGATACCTAAAGTTTCGCATTACGGGGTTGTGAAGATTGTTGAGTTACACTTTTTTTTTGAAACCATGAATCGATCAATGTTAGACCACCATTTGAAGAAACCTGGAAGTACTGGACGGCCAATTCGTCCTGGTATGGGACTCATCAGCAGTGTGCATCCACGACTCCTGCACGCCGCAGGGTTCGAACCCAGGACCTTCGGTATTGTAGCCGAACGCCTAACCATCGGACCACTGGGCAGGTATCTAACGGTGTTATTGTCTAAACTAAAGTTTTGTCAGTGGTAGGTCAAACGTGGATGAATAGACTTCAAACAATCATTAAAACAACATCAAAACTATTACGTAATAAGCAAATGTGTAAAAATAAAATTAAAAAATATAATGTCAATCCTTAGTTACGTCATATTCGGCCACGGAAGAGATAAGAGTGTCACGAATTTTGTCTGAACACATAAATTGCAGTTGAATGTGCGTATTCCTGTTGGCTTCTGAAATGTGTGTAGGAAACGGGATCGAACTCCGTTGGGAAATGATTGAGGTATACGAGATAGATCACCCGCGAAAAGATCTAGATTTATCTACTACATTGTGACCACTATCTACCAGGTGTGCTAAGATAACTAAGAACTGCGTATTATTTTTAACCGACCCTTTTATAAACCATGCTGGTAGATAGATAGATGTTCACTCATTCGTTAGTTAAGTTGCCTGGAAGTAGGTGCGTACGCCCGATATATAGCTATCTATCTACACAGGAGCAGTTGAATTTGTAAATGCACATATATACAGTAAAGCCTGATTGGAAAACAACAACATGATTGTTCGCTTACATGTGTTGTTGTCCAAATAGTCATTTCACTGCTCCATTTGTGGAAACTTTCTGTTCATGATTACTTTGTGTTTTTTTTTTGTGTCTTTCTCTTAATACACTTTACGCTTTACATTTTATTTATTCATTTAAAAAAGGCACCATTACCATTCGCGATCATTTATGTGACAGTCACATTGTTGTTGGTGATTTTCACATTTGTCGGTGCTCCAATCGAATCATGTAAGTTTGTTGTAGTTAGTTGAAATTTAGTTTTATTTTTTGAATTTTATCTACTTAACATTTTGATTCGTACAGACAGACAGATAGATAAACAGACAGATAGATAGATAAACAGACAGATAGATAGATAAACAGACAGACAGATAAACATACAGACAGATAGAGAGACAGACACAGATATAAAACAGACCTTTGTACATAAGAACATCATTTCAGGTCGCCATACCACACATCAGCATAGAAACGTAACTGTCAGTTCAAATCCAAGAGTGATAGCGATAGCAGAAGTATTAGCAGTAATGGAGAAGATTAGGGAGAGAAGATATGATTCGAAAAGTATGATTCAGCGAAATAAATTTAGAAGGAGAAAGATGGAGATGATGAGGAATTCAGAAAGTTAGAGTGTGAGAGAACACAAAGAGTGGATGCACCTGCGCCATTGTAAACGATTTTGAACCATGTCATTCAAGATCTCTAACAATTGGTGACTTTCGTTTCGCGGACCTCAACCAGATAGCCTATATCTACCAACATGACTCAGTCCACTAGTCAGTGACTTCATGCATTTCTGCCATGTTTTGGTTTGGCCGCCCCTTTCTTCCAATCTACTCTTACAACACAAAACATCGCTCAACGAGGCAGTCGGTGATTAGGCATTCGTAACACATGTTTCAACCACCTCAACTGATGAAGTTTCATTACTTCATCTATTGATTTGCCATCCTTACCTAGAACGCGTTTCCTAACGATAGCATTGCTTACTTAATTGTCTCAGTGTAGTGAAGGAGAACACCGGTGAGGGCAACTGAATTGTATTAAACGAAAATTACAGAGTTACTCAGTGAAATCGGAAAACCATATCGTAAACGGTTAATTTACAAATCTTCAATCCATCATCAATCCATTGTCTGACATTTCACTATTCATTTGTTCCCACTCTTCGTTTCTTGATGTTCCCCCATCTTCTGCTGCCAGACATTATTACGTTTACACTCGCGTCATATACTACTTATAAGTAGCGCGCACCACAGCAGGCTACACGAGCAATGTTATAGTTCGTACAAAGAAAAACAAAACGAAATCGATTTACAAAGATTTCCGTCACTTTTTTCCTATTCATTAAAATAATCCTCTTTTAAATTAATTTTAAAATGATATCAAGAACAATTTTCTCTTTGAAAAAAAATAGAACCTTAAATTGACTTAAATTGAGGTTATTAAAATAAGAATAATAATTATTTTTAAATTATGATTGAAAGCAATTTGAAAGAGGAAATCTTTTTTGGTGACAATTTCCTACCTTTTTTTATTCATTCTAATAGTTTACGTTAATATTTTCTCTCTCTCTCTCTCTCTCATTTCCTCTCATTTATTTACAATGATCACTTTAATGTTTATTTGAACTAGTATATCAAATTGACTGACCTCTTATCAATTTTCATTTAAAAATGTCTTGATAAGTATATGTATATGATGAGGTTGTAGGCATGATTGAATTATTTTGAGAAATTATAAAATTGAAGCATTGGATGGCCCTTTTTTTCCTGATGTGTGACTTGTCATCAATGCGCATTCACGGCTCCTGTTACTGACAGGATTTGAACTCAGAACATCCGATCTCACGCGCGAACGCACCAGCTCTGAACCAAAGAGATAGTATCCATTGATGTTATTGTCTAAATTCGATCAATCTACGGTCTTGGGCAACCTCATCCACTCTCTTCGCTGAGCACTACTTCACAACATAAACAGGGTTAAGCTCCACTGGTCTCGACTTCTCACTAGAAATAGGAGGAACTTCCTTATGGAGGTAGTCACTAGTGAGCATAAGTAATTTGCATTACGGAGTTGTAGAGATTGTTGGCTTACTATTCGTAACCATGAATCGATCAATGTTCAAAGTGTATAACACAAATTAATCAGATTTTTCAGATCAATTCACGTCATCTCATTGTTTTATCTCACAATTTATAAACGGACTAATTGGTTTTGAAAATTTTAATTCCGCAGAAAAATAATTTTTTACCAAAAGATATTCTAATCACGAATTGAATTTCGTTTTAAAATATTATTTAAAACTAGCGGTAACTTACTTGAACAAGCTGTTTTATCATACCGCAAAAGTTTTTTTCAACTGAATGCAATCAGAACTTAAAAGAAATTGTAAAATCGACAATATTCCGGTCTCGTGATATATATATATATATATCTCACCACACAGATAGAATTCATATTTACAAGTTTCTTTTTCAGCTTCTGGTATGACGCAATCACTGTTGACATCCCCTAGTACTGCGATATCACTGCAATGAATTTTTCACGAGAACTCTAGAAACTTCTCTAGACTAATAAGCATTAGCTTGAATATAGATCACATAGTGTCGGAGACGTTAGATCTCCAGAAATCACTTGAAAATTGTTCTAATTTTGGATTTTTTTGTGTTTTCGCGCATAAGTTGCTCAGTTGACCTTGAGAAAACATTTGCCACCAGGAACACCCTTGACTGTCATTGATTGATGGATTATTTTAGTACGCTGTTTTTGTGGCTCTCCCAAGGGAATTGCTATCATTGTGTGTGTGCTTGTCCACTTCGTATTTTCTGGGTGCTTGTAGAATACACTTCCTACGCCTTATCAAGTCAGTCAGTCAGTCAGTCAGATGCAACGTAGAACTTTGTACATAAGTACATCAGTTCATGTTGCTATACCACATCAACACATACATATAAATGTCAATTCAAATCCAATAGTAGAAGAGGTAGTAAAGGTATTAGAAGTAATCGGAGAGTTTAGGATTAAAAGATATTATTCAAGAAATATGATTCAATGAGAAAAGTTTAGAAAGTCAAAACTAGAGGTGTTGAATAATACAGAAGATTAGGATTTGAGAGAACACAAAGAATGAATGCATCGGCGCCATTACAAATGGTTTTGAGCCATGTCATTCAGGGTCTCTAACCATCGATTATGATCATCTCGCGGACCCCAACCAGGTAGTCGACAACTACCAATATGACTCATTCCACTCGTCAATGACTTCATGGATTTCTGTCATGTTTTGGTTTGGCCGCCCCTAGCTTTCTTCCAACCTACTACTCCTACACTACAAAACAAAGCTCGACGAGGCAGTCGGTGGTTCGGCATACGCAACACATGTCCCTACCACCTCAAATGATCAAGTTTCATTACTTCATATATTGACTTGCTATCCGTACCTAGAACTCGGTTGTCCCAGGATACTCGAGCAATACTTCTAAGACACCGATGATCGAATACTAGTAACCTACGAACATCTTCTACTCTCACTAACCATGTTTCACAGCCATAAAGTAAGACGGAGCGAACTACTGCACAGTACATTCTTCCTTTAGTCAGCAAACGGATATGTCGCCTACCCCTAATCAAGACTTCTTGCTATAGTTAGCAGTTCCGGGGAGGGACAATCTAATCAGAATAGCCTATCGTATCACTGAATCATTTATCATCTACTCTCCATTTATCGAGTAACCTGAACTCATCATACAGTTTTAAGCATATCAATGAATTTAACAATGGTCACACACACACACATGATGATTTGTCTTCATTCTAAATAACAACGCTTTTTTTTATTGGTACAACTATAAAACACAATCAAAATGAAAAAATTGATTATTACTTCCGTTTATTTTTACAAGATAAAACTTTTAAAATTTTGCTTCAAACAGTGAAATTTCATCAGTTTCATTGATTAAAATTAAAGTGAATTAGCCTCCTACACATTATGATTATTACTTCTATATTTATTGTTTACGTGAGAGAGATATGAACCTGATTTGATTGGTTTTCCAGCGTGGGTTGATTGTCAGTCAATGCAGTTTTTTTCCCCCTTACCTTATACCACCACTTACTACTTACTTACTTACTACTGGTGGTAGAATACAACAAGTTCACATAAAAGTAGTAGATATTACCTACTTATATAAAAATTTTCACAATTCATTAAATTTGTTTTAAAATCAATTGTCAAATATTTTGCAGAAAAGGAATAAAAATAAATTATTTTTTTAACAAAAAAACTTTCTACTTTTCTACTTAAGAGTAAACTATTTCCGTAGACATAAGATTGTTGAAGTGATTTCTTTCTTAGTTAAAAATAGTTGAAAATGAAAAAAAATTAGTATTTTTAAATTTAGACTGATTTAAAATGAATCAAAAGGCGGTTTTATAACTATTAAAATACTTATATGAAATGGTGTATTCTAATTTTATCTGATGGGAAGTAAGCATAGGATACAGTGGATAGCTAGGATGCAGTTAGACTGTGGTGCGGACTACTTATAAGTAGTATATGGCATGAGTGTCAACGTAAAGTCTGGTAGCATAATATGGGGGGAAGATCAAGAAAGGAAGAATTAGAAAACAATGGAATTTGTATGAAACGCATGAATAGTAGTGACAATGGATTGATGTTTTGCAACAGGAACAGTCCAGTTCGATATGATGAACTGATATTTTGCAAATTAACGATTGACGGACGATATGGTTTTCCGATTTTACTGAGTAACTCTGTAATTTTTGTTAAATCCAATTCGGTTGCCCCACCTGTGTTCTCGTTCACTACAGGACAATCTAGACTTCACAGATGATTTAGCTGTTCTTTCTCACACGCAATAGAAGACGAGCAGAGTAGCAGCAGCTTCAGGCAACAGCAAGTCTCAGCGTACATACAGGAATGAGAAAGATACTCCTACATAAAACACTATATGCACCAACCAAATCACACTTGATGGAGATGCTTTGGAGGACGTATTTGGACAGCATCATTGACGAGCAAGGTGGATCGGATGCAGATGCGAGGGCGCGGATTGGGAAAGCAAGGGCAGCATTTATACAACTGAAGAAAATCAGCGACTCAAACACAACTGTCAACCAACACTAAAGTCACAGTTTTCAATGCAAATGTCAAGACAGTTCTACCATATTGTTAAGTTCGTCACTTAGTCGATAAACACCAACGAGACTTTTACCAGCGTCCATGTAGGCTACCTTGAATCCCAAAACTGCAAAACAGAAGTCTTGGTAAGCGTAGAAAGTATATTCTACAAACACCCAGCCAGAACAATCCATTCAAGCATACAACTCTCGTTTATTTATCCAACATCATAGAAACGTCCTTGGGACAGTTACGAAAATGGCACACTAAAATACACAGCAGCTAATCACAGCCGAGGATTTTCCTGGTGGGAAATGAAATCTCAAGGTCAACTGATCAGCCCATGCTGTCAAACGTGAAATCCAAAATAAGGCATTTGACAAGCGAGTTTTGGGGATCTAACATCTCCAACACATATGAGGCGGAAACTTGGAGAACTACCATAGACATCATCCTAAAGATAAATCTGTTTATTCACAGTTGTCTACACAAGCTATAATGTAGATTCGCTAGCTAGAAACCATCAACGACAATCTGCTTCAGGAGAAAATAAACTCGATTTCAGCGTTGGAAGAAATCAGAAGGAAATGTTGGAAGTGGATAGAACACACAATGCGGAAAGCACCTTCACTTGGAATCCTTGATGTGTTAAAGAAAAAGAGGAAGGCCAATGAACACATTAGGTCGGGAATTGAAGACAGATTTAATAATAATGAACAACAATTGGATAGAACTAGAAAGGAAGGTCGAAGAATAAGTAGGTTGGAGAATGATTGTCGGTAGCCTATGTTCCCATCGGGGGATAAAAAGTGTGTGCCATTAAGTAAGTAATTAAGTGATTGTTTAACTAAAGATACTTACTTACTTATGGCTGTTCCCTCGAACGTGCATAGGGCGCTGACCAGCATTCCCATCTACATACTCTGTCCTGGACCTTCTACCCAAGTGCTGTTCATTTTTCTGATGTCTGTTTCCGATTGGTGGTGTCATGTTTTGTTCAGTCCTTTATTAAGGATAACTAATTATCAGAAGGAAGCTCCATGAACGGTTTGGATAAACACTTCTTCACATAATAGGAACAGATGATATTACTTAGAATTGTAATTCAATCAGAGAATATTATTTCGAAAGCATCCAACGAAGTTACAAATCTTTTTCTAACATATTTGAGCTATGTCGGTTCACAATTGATTCCATTGTCTCATCAAGAAAATGATTCAGAGTTTTTATTTCTCCCCCCGAAATAACTGAAATCAGTGTTTATTAGTTGACTCTAGCTAAGACACTGTTCAGATGTTAATTACAATAATTCAATGTAGGACCGATGAATTTAACATCTATTTTTCAAACGTTTCTATTCAACAAAAAAAATGTTTCGTTATAGATAGAGAAGTACACTAGATGAGACGCGAATTCCGTCTTTAAACATTCCATCTATTTATGCATTTGTGATTTCTACTGTCATCTTGTTGATAAAAAAATGCCCTAAAACAGTAGATGTTGTGAGTTCTATAAAGTTACCTTTCCTTTCAATTTATCTCCAAATTACAATATTCCGTGAACTGTGTGTGTTGCAACAGGTTGATTCCTCCAAACTCGAGAATATTTATATGCATTGTTAATAATTACTAGAGTATACAATAAAGTATACGAATAGGCAAATATGTCAAAAAGTAAATGAATCAAAGGTGGAAACGCGTATTTGTATTTTTTTTCATAAATAAAGTTTATTGATAAAGATTCGGAGTGTAGAGATATGAGCTTAATAAAATCATACTGACGCTATTGTGTACCGAATCAGATGTCTATAGATAATATAAACAAATGTGACAGGGAATGTTTGTCCTTTATTGCGCTAACCATCAGTCAGTCAGTCAGTCAGTCAGATGCAATGTAGAACTTTGTACGTAAGTACATCAGTTCATGTTGCTATACCACCACATTAGCACAGAGATGTAATTGTCAATTCAAATCCAATAATAGTAGTAGAGGTAGTAAAGGTATTAGAAGTAATCAGAGAGGTTAGGATTAGAAGATATTATTCAAGAAGTATGATTCAGTGAGAAAATTATAGGAAGTCAAAACTAGGGGGTGTTGAAGAATCCATAAGATTAGAATTTGAGAGAACACAGAGAAGTAGTAGTCGACAACTACCGATATGACTCAGTCCACTTGTCAATGACTTCATAGATTTCTGTCATGTTTTGGTCTAACCGCCACTAACTTTCTTCCAACCTACTCCTACACCACAAAACATAGCTGGACGAGGCAGTCGGTGATTAGGCATACCTAACACATTTCTCAACCACCTCAACTGGTGAAGCTTCACTACTTCATCTATTGATTTGCCATCCTTACCTAGTACTCGCTTTCTAACGACAGCATTGCTTATACGGTTATCACAGGATACTCGCTAGTGAAGGAAAATGTCGATAGATATAAAGTCAAGCGCGTTTATTCAAGGGGTTCAATGTTGAATATTATTGAACTATTGTTTTATTGATGCAGGTAATAGGTAATTTTTCATATTCTTACTTATTATTATTATTATTATTAATTATTTTCTATTATTATTTATTAAAATCAAAACAAAACCAAATAATTTCTTTTTTTAGTAATGGGTGTAGCGATTATTTTAACTGGAATTCCAGTCTACATTGTTGGTTGTGTATGGAAGAATAAACCGATAGCATTTCAACGTGCATTACGTAAGTAGATTTGATTATATACTTTTCTTCTCTAATACTTGCTTACTTAATTACGCCTGTTACCCCCAATGGAGCATAGGCCGCCCAGCAGTTTTCCCCAACCAACTCTGTCTTGGGCTTCCCTTTTTTTTCAACTGTAGAACTGTAGCCCTTGCTTTGTTGATCCGCGCCCTCACATCTGCATCGGATCCACCTTTCTCGTCGATGATGCTGCCCAGATATGTAAAGGTGTTGACGTCCTCCAAGGCGTGTCTATCAAGAGTGATTTGGTTGGTGCATCTTGTGTTGCATCGTAGAATCTTGATTTTTCCTTTATGTATGTTGAGACCTACTGTGGCTGAGGCTGCTGCTACACTGGTCGTCTTCTCTTGCATTTGTTGTTGAGTGTGCGATAGAAGAGCCAAGTCATCTGCGAAGTCCAGATCGTCCAGCTGCGTCCTAAATGTCCAGTTGATACCGTGCTTCCCTCCAGATGTTGACGTCTTCATGATCCAGTCGATGGATGACCAGGAGAAAGAGAAAGGGTGAGAGTAAGCAACCTTGCCTGACACCGGTCTTTACCTCGAAAAAGTCTATCAGCTGTCCTTCGTGTACTATTTTGACTTCATCCTAGTGTGGAACTCCGTTAGCGATTAATTTTAGAACCATAAAACTTGAATGCAAACTTTTAACGTTTAAATTACTGAGTTCAAAAACTAATAGTTTAGACGTAGTCAATTTGAATTATAGACTTCCTGTAGTTGATATATCTTGGTTATTTAAATCGCTTAGTTGTTAATTTGGGATGGCTCTCGAGAAGTCGAAGAGTTTCATTCCAATCCACAGTTTAATGAAATCTCTAGAACGGGTGATCGGATGATTTTATTGATGTTTTCACACTACACAAAAGACTATTGTGGTGGTGGTGTTTGGTTCTCTGAGATGCTGGGTGTTTTGGTTGTGGAGCTTTCATTGTTCTTCTACTGAACAACATCATCAGCCCAAACTTCGTACAATTACGCACTATGGAGAAAAGCGTATTTCTCATGCCTTGCACCTTTTCTCTTTTATTCAAGTTGCAATGTAAATTTACGTAGTGTGGTTGTGGAAATTGTTGAGTTACTTTTTAATCTCATGAATCAGTCATTGTTAGACTATCGTTAGAAACCTGGAAGCACTGGAAGACCGTTTCGTCCTGGTATGAGAATCATCAGCAGTGCGCATATCTACGACTCCTGCTATTCACAGGATTCTTCCTCGGTGTGGTCAGTCGGGAAGTGATATCCGCCTTCATACCCGTAACATCTCTCAGGTGCATCCACTCTTTGTGTTCTCTCAAATCCTAACCTTCTTAATTCCTTATCACATTATCTTTTTAATTTTATTTCTCAAGATTCTACTTCTTGAATAATATCTTCGAACCCTAATCTCTCCGACTACTGCTAATACCTTTACTATCTCTACTACTATGGGAATTTGAATTGACAATTACATCTCCTTGTGCTGATGAGGTACTTACGAAGTTCTACGTCGATATTGATTGACTGACTGATTGATTCACAGGATTCGAATCCAGGACCTACAATGTCTTGCATGCAAATACCGAACTTCTAGGAAAAAATGACTGTTCAATACTTCCACGTTTCTATAATGGTGGTCTAAAATGGATCGATTCACGGTGTACAGAAAAAAAATAACTGTAGATTTAGTCTATAGAGAGTTAGTTATAAGAAGCAGATCGGAAATCAGTCAGTACTAGCATTCATTTAGTTAGCCAATGTATCAATAAATATTTCATTGGAAAATTTACAATCAAATCTGATTAAAAATTAAAATTAATCATCTTTTGTTTTTCAATTTGTATTTTGACATAAGTAAAGTAATTAATCTTCATGTCATTTTTCCTATTGATTTTAAATAATATTTTCATTTAGAATTAACTTAAACCTAGTGTGTACTGCGAAGCAATTCGCTTCCTTCTCCTATATGGATGTGAAACATGGCCGTTAAGAGTAGAAGATATTCGTAGGTTACTAGTATTCGATCATAGATGTTTAAGAAGCATTGCTCGTATACCGTGGGACAACCGAGTAAGCAGTGTTGTCGTTGGGAAACGAGTTGTAGGTAAGGATGGCAAATGAATAGATGAAGTGGTGAAACTTCATCAGTTGAGGTGGTTGGGACATGTGTTACGAATGCCTGACCACTGACTGCCTCGACGAGCATTGTTTTGTGGTGTAGTAATAGGTTGGAAGAAAGCTAGGGGCGTCCAGACCAAAACATGTCAGAAATCCATGAAGTCACTGACAAGTGGACTGAGTCATGTTGGTAGATGTAGACTACCTGGTTGGGGTCCGCGAGACGAAATTCACCAATGGTTAGACACCTTGAACGACATAGCTCAAAATCGTTTGCAATGGCGCAAGTGCATCCATTCTTTGAGCTCTCTCAAATCCTAATCTTCTGGATTCATCAGCACCTCTACCTTTGTCTTTCTAATCATATCCCACTGAATTATACTTCTTGAATAATATCTTCAAACCGTTTAGTCTTCTTCATTACCATTAATACTTCTTCTATCTTTATCACTATGGGATTCAGTTTGACATTTGCGTCTCTGTGCTAATGTGGTATGGCAACATGAACTGATGTACATACGTACGAAGTTCTGCGTTGCAACTGAGTTACTGACTGTGTATTTATTATTATTATTATTATTATTTAGTAAAATTTTTAATTAGTTTTAAAATATTCGTTTTTTTTAATTCGGACAAAAGATTTAATTATGTTCTGTTTATTTCTTGAATAATTTCTATCGTATGCTTAAATAAAAAACAAAGGGTTTTGTAAATATATAAGTGATTAATTATGTTTGATTGACCGACATGCCCGACAAGCTGTACATGCTCATCGCTGTTGTTTAGGCACAACACAAGGATTTTCACTGTCAATATATTTTTAGAAAAAAGAATCTATACTACTCAAAAAAACACTACATTTTATTTATAAGTCCATTTACATTGGGTCATTAGGTAAAATTGTCATATCATCTTGTAGTGGATGAGAAAAAATGGAGTAACAATAGTCTAGTTTTAATTGAGAAACAAAAAAATTATTTCTGCTAATTGAAATCACACATTTTTGAAACCATGAAACGATTAATGTTAGACCACCACCATTAGAAACCTGGAAGCACTGGACGGCCGTTTCGTCCTGGTATGGGACTCCTCAGCAGTGTGCATCCACGACTCCTGCACCCCACAGGATTCGAACCCAGGATTTTCGGTATTGTAGGCGAACGCCGAAGGTCCTGGGTTCGAATCCTGCGGGGTGTAGGAGTCTTGGATGCGCACTGCTGCTGATAACTAGTCCCATACCAGGACGAAACGGCCATTGTCCAGTGCTTCCAGGTTTCTAATGGTGGTCCAACATTGATCGATTCACGGTTTCAAAAAATGTGTAACTTAACAATCTTCACAACCCTTGTAACGCAAATTACCTGTGCTCACTAGTGACCAGCTTCGTGAGGAATCTTCTCCCAGTTCTAGTAGGAAGACGTGACCAGTGAAGTTCAACCTGTTCGAGTGTAGGCAGTAACTATCGAAGACTGTGTATGAGGTTGCGTAACTCCGTGAATTGATCAAGTTAGACATTAACACCTCTAGATACCGGCTCAGTGGTCCAACGGTTAGGGCGTTTGCGCACAATACTGAAGGTCCTGGGTTCGAATCCTGCGGGGTGCAGGAGTCGTGGATGCGCACATTTGACGAGTCCCATACCAGGACGAAACGGCCGTCTTTCAGTGCTTCCAGGTTTCTAATGGTTATAATCTAACATTGATTGATTCATGGTTTCTAAAAAAATGTGTAACTTAACAATCTTCACAACCCCTGTAATGTAAATAATCATTGTAAAAACATCAAAGCGCTGAATGAATGACCGTTTCAACCTAATATAGGTCTCATCATGAGTGCGAATCCACGACGGCCGCATGAGGGAATCAGTGTCAAGTGCTTTGCTCTTGAATATAAGCGCTAGACTTTTAAACCACTGGGTTGAAAATGTTAATGTCTAACATCGACCAATCTATGGTCTTGTGTAACCTTCACCTGTTCCATGTGGTGCATACCTGCTTCACATCTAACACGATTTCATTGAATTTACAGTGGTTTAGCGTTATGCACATACATCCGGCTGACAAATCTAAAACATGACAAAACGCGCATGTTGCATCCCACTGCTACGCCTCGTCATAATGGCTATATCCAGCCGATCCACATTGGATGCCCATATGCTAATCAAGACTGATCTCATTTTAGTGGGAATATCAATCACGAAACTGTCTAAACCATTTTCAATTGAATTGTTACTTCTGGTCTGTCAGAAGTCAATAAAAATGACTTATAATGTATCATTTATTTTATTGTTCAAAATGCTTCTTTACTTCTTTGTTTTCATCCAAAATCATTTAATCAGGCTATCAAAAATGAGAAAGATTTTAGGTGATTATGTGAAGAAGTATACACATACATATGTGTTATAAAAATGTTACTTCTTCTGCCACTGTTAGAACCCTCAGAACTCATTTGGAAAAGGTCCTAATTTTTGATTTTTTGTGTTTTCGCGCATAAGTTGATCAACTGACCCTGAGCTTACATTTCCTACACGGAAAATCCTTGACTGTTATTGGTTAATGTATTATTTTAGTACTCTATGTTTGTGGCTTTCCCCAAGGACGTTTCACTCATATATAATTAAGCTCCACCTGTGTGCTTGTCCACTTGGTATTTTCCGGGTGCTAGTAGAACTCACTTTATACGCCGTATCAAGACTTTTTCCACTACTTAGTGGGGTCTTGGATTAGAATAGCCTATCGTGTCACTGGATCATTTGTCTTCGCTCTGGTTTAACGAGTAAAGTAAAATCTTAGTAGTTTTAAGTATATCAATTGATGAGCATAACACACAGCTATTCACGATTGTTATTTTTCATGGACTATAAGCCGCTCACTATCAAGCTCGAACCTCTTCTGTTCTGGGTGTCCCTTACCGGTTGTTCCAAATCTCTATTTATTCTTTTGACACATATCTCCAGTACCTCGGTACATTGTGCTATCTAATCTTTGTCTTTCCGTTTTATCTCGAAGATTAAAAGTTGGAGGCTGCTCTCTCTCCCTCTCTCACTAAGTTTGATGATTTCCGTCATGTATGACCAATCTACCTCCAGTTATTTTTCCTGATTTGCTCCTCAACTGAAAGCTGTTTTGTTCCATGTCACAGGAGGTTGTTGTTGGTTGTGTCTAGTCAACAGATTAGAAGTATCTTGTGTAAACAACTCTCTCAAAATACCTGTATCTTTCAGACTATGTCCGGATAGTCTATAGCACATCATTCAGAACTTCCTTAAAATGTATGATTTGGTTTGTATGACAACTTGAACTGATGTATGTACATACTTACGAACATGTAGCAAGTTCTTCAATATATTGTAGTTAACTGACTGTCCAAATACTAATGATCTGTTTTATTGATTAAATAATCATTTCAGTAGTATCTTATCATCTTGTTGTATTAATTCATATTTTTCCCCCTTTTTTTTTTCATTTCTCACAGATAATTTCACATTAGGCTTACAAAAACTTTTACAATTAGTACCTGAAAGTTGATTGATTGATTACCTAGCGAATATACTGCATTGTGTCTGTTTGAGTGCATCTCTACACGTCTGGACAAACACACAGCTACACAAACATTCCAAGCATCGACAAACTAACTATACTAATACTACTTATTATTATTATCAGTAGTTCTTTCTTTTTTTTCCTATTTATAAACTATTTACAATTTTTTTTTTGACACATGAACTAATCAATCAATCTTTCTTTCTTTCTGTTACATATTCAATAAAAAAATTTTTCCCTCCCTCCGCCCACCCACCAACTTCATTGAATTCCATTTAAAACACATTCATGTTATTATAGTCTTTTGACTTATTACACCAAAATACTTCAAGACAGCATATGTTTGTTATGTGTACTGCCGCTTCATGACAACAAAATTGCATTTTTTTATTTGATATTTTCTAATATCATTCGTTATTTATTACTATTTACTGTTGTTAGCATAGAAATTTTAAAATATTAATCACCAATTCCGAAATGAAGACAGTTTTTTTTGTTTCCTTAACAAATGACACACATCACGAAATGTTGAGTTTTTTTTTATTGATTTTTTTTTCATCTCCAATGGAATGTGAACAACACATTCCATCCATTGTGTTGTTACTGAATGAATAATCCTTTTGTGTTAGAC